GTACCTGAAACCACGTTGGGATCCTCTCTAGCTTCTCTGGCTCCAATCTCAAATGCTCTACCCCGTGCCTGACTTCCTGGGTTTCCGGAACTGACCTGCCAGGTCTGGCTTGCATTTGCCCATGATTTCCTCTTTGGACAAGTATTCCTCATGTGATCTGCACTCCCACAATCGAAACATAATCGTTTCCGGCAATCCTTTGCTGTGTGACCCCCTAGGTGACATCTTTGACAAATGATGCAATTCCCTCGATGCGGAAGTTTGCACTTATTGCACTTAGCCGTGTCATCTTGTCTTACCACCTGCATATGTGCTCCAAAATTCCGTACTACCCTCCTGCTTCTGTCAAATTTTCCCCCAACTCTTCGATCCCCATGCTCCTCCATCTTTCGCTTTCCTTTAGCAAATCTTCCAGATCGAACAGCATTATTTGTGATCTTTGTGGCAATGTCTATTGCCTCCTGAAGAGTCTTTGAATTGGCCGAGGTAATGTTTCCCCGAATTTCTAGAGATAATCCCCAGATATACCTTTCTATGCGAACTTCCTCTGGCGTTACTAGATGTGGCACTAGGTTCGCCAGTTCATGAAATCGAGCCGCATATGCAGATATATTATCCCCTTTCATTTCTAGATTCCATAGCTCCATTTCCAGCTTTTGAAGTTCACTTCTGGGGCAATATTCGGCCTTAAAGAGTTTCTTGAACTCCTCCCACGAAAGTTGGTTGGCCGCTTCTCGACCTCTAGTCTGTACCAAGGTATTCCACCAGGTAAGTGCCCTCCCTTGCAACAAACATGCCGCATACTCCACTTTGTTTGCTTCAGAACACTTACTGATATGGAGAACAGATTCCATACTTTTTATCCAGGTCAATAGTCCTACAGCCCCCTCAGTCCCATTGAATTCTTTTGGATTGCAGGATCTGAAGGTTTTGTAAGTGCATTCTCTGGGAGGTCTAGACTCAGAGTTTGATGGTTGGTTGGCATTCAAACCAGCAGCCACTTGACTAACAATGTTGGGAAGTGCGGCTAGAAGTTGCTCTGACACAAGTCGTGCAACTTCGGGGTTCTCTCTCCTTGGCGGCATTTTCTATGGCCTAAAATCAGATGGGAGTTCATCATTAATATAGCAATACTATGACGATATCTCTTAGTTATGCAATGATACCAAAAATGTTCTTCGCAAGGGAAATAATCAGGTATTACTATAACCAAATTAGAGTAAACTCATTCATACAATAAATTGACATAATAAGCATTCTTCAAAAGGTGTCCATGAATTTATATACTCGTGGCAGGTACAAAACAGGATCTCTAGTAACAATACAAAAGAGTGAGTATCCTATCCTTAATTCTTCTTCTAAACATCCATCCTATGATGATTCCCATCAATAGCATCATCACTCCACTCACTACCATCCATCTATACAATCTTCTTATTTCCTGCCTTGTTGCAGCGACAGCATCCGCGTTCCTTAGCATGCTCTCATGGTGTGCTTCCATCACATCAAACAGATTGTTTAGAATGTGATGGTGATATCCCAGTGTGGTCTGGTGCACTTGTGTATCGGATGCAATTCTCCTCACCTAGTCTCTTTCTGCCGGATTCATGCCCCGAGTGCAGGATGCAGGTACCCCGGTTACCACTTGAGTTATTCTCTTTCCCAACCGGGGTCGGGATGACTCCCCTACGACCCTATTAGAGTCTTCAAATGTCACACGCTGTGGTAGTGGGACACTCTTCCTGGGTGTAACCCTGATCCTTGAGCCATGATAGGTTCGTGGTGGAACATCGGGTGCTGGCTCCGCTGGGGGTAAGAAGGATGCTTGTGGAGTGGCTGCTGCTTCACTTGTCACCGTG